AGGATTGAATTTTTAAGAATGAAGAAAAGAGAAGAATCAAATGAGCCTGTGATGGATTTGGATTAAAATTAAACCAAGTTAGTTTTAAAAATTGGGCCAAAAATTAAAATGAAAAATTAGTTTTAAGAATTGGGTTGGGTCTGCCAAGTGATATTAATTATGGGAAAAATTTATAAATAAGGTGTTTAGTTTACACAAATTCAAAAATCATGTTTATAATTTGAAAATTCAAAAATCAGGTTTTTTTTTTTTTTTAAATTCTAATATAATATAAATAATATAATAAACTCACCCCACATGCACCACCCCTACCCGCTCATGGGACTATTCCGGCGACCACTTCGGCGACTGCTCCGATTCCGGTGACTATTTCGGTAATCATTCCAACGACTATTTCGGCAATCATTCCGGTCACATATTTACAATTTACTGTTACAGTTCAAAAATTTTATAGGTCACATTGAATTCGTTGGTCACAGATTGCAAAATTAGTTGGTCACAGATCAAAATTTATAGGTCACACAGTCACAAATTTCCAAATTAATTGGTCACAGATTTTTTACGATCACATATTATATAATTTTTAGGTCACATATAATTTACAATAATTTTATAGGTCACAGATTATTTTATTGGTCACAAAAAATTACAAGTCACAATTATCTTTCAGTCACATATTTTCANGCCATCACCCTACCAACAAATAATAAGTCCTCCACCGCCACCACCATCAACACCTTCCCCTGCACCACCAGCCATCAAAATTTCTGGCACCAGATAATTTACAATCATCTCGCTCTCACACATTTCTTCACCCACTTTTCGATCTCCCAAAACCCTACTTCAACAAAGAATCTCTCTCATCAGCAACCACCTTCGTCACCGGCAACCAATCCCACCACTCCAACTCCTCGCGGGCACCCCAAGCAGCAATCGCATACAACCCTTCTGACGCACGACACTCCTTGAGCTGTTGAGCCACCACATGACTCCTCATACACCGCAAACAATATCTCCTCTACACCGCCTCTGCCAAATCAATAGCCCAACTGATCAATTACACACTACCATTTCCTTCGTGCCTTCCCAGCCACAAAGTCTCCCACTAGTCGACTCAAAATCAAGATGAACAACATCGATTCACACAGCCAATTGAAACACTGCTGTGAATCGTAGCAGTAGCTCGCAGTAGAGGGAGGGAGATGGGGATGGGGAGGTGGAGGTGGAGGGGGAAGGGTGAAATGGCAGAGGGGAGGGGAGGGGATGGGAGAAGAGGCGAGGCGAGAGAGGAGAGGGGGTGGAGAGTGAAAAATTAGGCTTAGAGTGTTTATATATTACCTGATTTTTGAAGAATGAAACTTGGTACTTGATTTTTGAATTTGAAACTTTAAACATCTGATTTTTTATAATTTCCCCATTAATTATTGGTAGGCTAAATATTATTATTATTATTATTATTATTATTATTATTATTATTATTATTATTATTATTATAAAATTAAATTAATATATACACCCACCCTGCGCATCCCAGCCCAATTTCACTCACTAACCTAATTCATTTCTCCTAGGATTCTCTGCCCAGGGATGTCGCAACTGCGAGGACCTCTACCCTTAGGTGTGCCGCGCGACCTCTACCCAGTTTGAAAAACACCGTTAGAAAAAATGACGCAGCTGGAAACATCGCTCTACGGTATTGTGATTCCATTTCGCGTGCTACGCTATGTCGAAAGAAAAGATGAAGTTGTCGGCATACGTCATGCTGCAGTCGATTGGATCTCGTTTTGGATGTATGCGATCTGATTTTGGATCAAGTTGTGCAGTGATTTTGTTGACGGTGGTGGTGATGTTGGCGGCGTTTTGGTTTTGGATCTAGTTTTGGGCTATGGTTCGGGATATGAGTTTTGGTGGATGAGGAAAGGGAAGAGGCGGTGGTGGTGTGATGTTGGTGGTGGTCATAGTAGTGATTGATCAGTTTGGATATGATTTTTTGATGCTGTTTGGGCTGCAAGTAATGGTAGGTTGTTGGGGTTGTCTGTGACTAAGTTGCTTGCGGTGGGGTTGTGTTGGTGATGGTGAGCTATTAGGCAGTGTTGGTGGTTGTATGTGACCAACTATTTGGTTAGGATAATGTTAGAGGTATATAAGCATCTATATGAGGGTGTCCATAAGCATGTGATTTTTACCTTTAATTCAAATCTGACACTTACACATCAATGACTGGATGATTGCCACATAAACATTATGAATACCCTTATGTAGATGCTTATGTACCTCTAACATTATCCATTTGGTTAATCCGTGACCAATTATTTAATTGCGATCTAAAAATTTGATTATTTATGACCATCTAATTTGAAAATCTATGACTGATAAATAAAATGTGACCTATTAATTTTTTGATTTGTAACCAATGAAATAAGTTGTGACTTATCAAAAATTTTGATTGTGACCATAAAATAATACGTGACTAATTAATTTGATAATATATGACCAATAATTAAGTTGTGACCCACAACTATGCACTTGTGACTATTAAATGTATAATTGTGACTTTAATATATTTAATTAATAAAATATAATCAATCAATTAATTAATATCTAAGTTTTGAATTTTGAAACTTAAAACTTGAAAATTGAATTGCTTCATACTTAATGCTTGACTTGTGAATTTTTCCCAAACAATTTTCTATTAATTTGTACTATTTTTATTGGACCTGGACTTGGGGGACAGTGGGCTACAACCAAGCCCAAGTGCAACCCATTGCCAAATTTGCCCATGATCATCTAAGTTAGGTGTTTAAATCAAGTAGTGAAGGTGTAAAGCTTAAGGGATTTGCAAATGCAAATTTCATGGGGATGAAGATAGTTGGAAATCAACTACTGCATATGTATTTACTCTGGACTTGTATAAGTTGGAAACCTCAAATACAATCCGAGTTGCTTCATCTACCACTTAATTATAATATGTTACCACAATTGAAGCAATAAAAGAAGATTTGTGTTTAAAAGGGGTATTAACTGATATTAATGTGTTAATCGATGTAGATATTATATATTCAGATAATCAAAATGTTATCTATTTATGTAAAAATCCGATATTTCTTATGAAAGGAAAAAGCACGTAAATGTTGAAATACACTTTATTTGAAGATAATTTTGAGAAAATTCCACCAGATTTAATGTGGAATGTTAAGTGGTTAAATTCCACATCAAATAAATGTAAAAATATAGACCAATTTATAACGATTTAGACAACCCATCTTAATAAGGTTGGTCTTTTAAGATGGAATTTCAAGCCTTAACATGGTATCAGAGTCACTTCATCGAACAATTTGATCCAATTAAAACTTAAAAAATAAGCACGTTAATTTCAAGATTTTGAGCGAAGGGAGGCAACCTAAGCTTTTCTTGTTCCTTTTTCATTATTGTATTTTTGAGTTTTAGGATAGTTTAATTTATTTCAAATTTATTTGTGACTCATTATCCATACCCCGTTTTCCCTTATGTTTTCGATATATTAGTTGATTTATTAGATGTTAGAGTTAAGTAACAATTGTTCCAATTATTTGATCGTGATGCTTTATTTGATTTTTCAGGAATATAACGTCACGAAACATTTAAACCAATATTGACCAAGAAGCCAACGTGAGCAATAGTTTATCAAGTGTTGATCCTGGGGAGAAGGTGGAGACTGATACTAGGTGGATAGGAGGCAAGATNGAGAAGGTGGAGACTGATACTAGGTGGATAGGAGGCAAGATAGATGAAGTTTAAAGTCAGCAAATGAGTTAAGTGCACCAAGTCCATTAACATCAAGAGGTTGGTTAGGTTGTGATGCCAAAATAACCCCCAAGTGACAATGACACAATTCTTAACCTCAATGCTTAGGCTCAAATAAATGAGGAAATCAAGTTGCCAACTTGATCAAAAGTGCTGTTTTTTGAGCATTTGGTGAGAAGACTCTCGTTTCATGGTGTTTCTGCTTTACTGTAGCAATCTAGCAAGCCGAGTTCGGGGGTCCAATGTAGGGTTCTTGAGACGAGGGTCCATCCTTTCTAAGCCCTTGAGAATCCATATATTACCTTTGGGATTCATGCAAAGAGGAATGTTGATTCCATTGTAGAAGTTTTGCTTCCAGATTCTGCATCTTTGATTCAATATTGTATTGATTTTTTCAGTCATTCTGTGATCTTTTAGTATTATAGGCTCAGTCATTGATAAAGTCAAAATATAATTTTCAGTAATTTGAGATATCCTAATTTGATAAAAACTATTGTTTTCTATCATCTTGGGATTTTATTTTTGATTTAATTGGGTCTATAAATAAGAATATTTTATTAAAAAATTAGAGGAGGCTAGGGATACAATTTAAAGGCAAGATTACACATTCAAATGCATTGAATCCTCAAGATTTGTATCTCAATTTGGGATTGGAATGTTGAAAAACACAATTGGTCGGGAGATATACAATAATCCAAGAATAGATTGATAATTCATTGTTGGAAATTGGGTGCCAAAGAACAACTATCGCTTGAATTATTTTCTTCCTTTATTGTAGTAAACTCGATGATTTTATTCATCTTTTTGTTATTCAATTTCAATAGTAATCTTTATTAGTTCCATTGATTTCACTCAGCTTTGATTGTGTATTTATTTTATATTCAATCGTTCGATCAACAACTACTTGATTTGAGGATAACATTTAGGCCCAGAAAAGATATATTTGTCTGATTCGTGTAATAAATGGCATATCTTTTATACGAGATCGAGAGATGATTATAGCTTATTCAATTATAATTGAATTCCTACTTGTTAATGCATTCACGTGTATAAATTTATATAGATATATTAAATCCGGGCAGGTGAATAAGGTTAATTTTGCTCGAGAGAGATTTCAAACTAGAATTGAAAAACAAATTGATACAAAGTGCTTAGTTTATTTGGGAATGATACATGTACTTGAGACAAAGATTAACAAAATATCAAGCCACATATGATTATGCATAAAGACTCAAATTAGACGATCTCGGAGACGGAATAGCAAATAATGGTTCGGTTTTCCTCATGAGAATTCCAAATGTCCCTGAGGCGTCAAGATTTTTGCCCTCCGGTATTTTCCAATCAAATGAATGCAGGAGCGAGGCTAGGACGTACATTACCATTTTCTCTGCTAGATGAAGGCCGGGACATATCCTTCTTCCTGATCCAAATGGAAGATATTCAAAGCTGTTTCCCAAATAGTCACATACTTTGCCACTGTCGACATTCAAAAATCTCTCCGGCCTAAATTCCGATGGGTTTTCCCAAATCTGTGGATCCATTTGCGCCGACCATGTATTCAGAAAGACACGAGAACCCTTTGGTATAGTATATCCCCCGACCATGCAAGATTGGCTCGATATTCTTGGGATCAACAGGGGAAGTGGAGGATGTAGTCGGAATGTTTCTTTCACAACTGCATCAAGATACTGTAGTTTCGATACATGGAATTCTTCCACAGAGTTGTTTATCCCGACAACATTTGTTAATTCTTGTTGCACCCTTTTCATTGCATCTGGATTCCGCAAAATCTCCGTCATTACCCACTCGACTGTTATTGCTGTAGTGTCCGTCCCCCCTACAACAATGTCCTGTTTCTCATAACATCAGTTGAATTAGAAGATCACTAGTACTCGACAGCAAGAAAGAAAACTAAAACTTTGTTATTATACTATCTAGTCTTATCCAGTGCTGTGACGAACATGCACACAATAACCATTGCAGGATTCCCAGGAAATCTCAAAAAGTACTACCCATTTATGCAGCATGATTACAAAGTAGAATTGATGAATATTTGAAAGAATAAATGAAATTGAAAACAGAAACGAGGGAAAATTTTGATGATATTATAATCAGAAAATTGCACAAAAATAAAGAAATTACCATCAATATGGACTTTATTTGTATCAGGCTAATTGAGGTATTCTTCTCCTTTAGCTGTAGAAGAATTTGCAGAAAGTCCTTCCTTTTGTTATCTCCTTCACCTCCATCAGAATTCATCTTCATACGTTCATTTATGACGTTGTCAAGAATCCGGTCAATATGTGGCAAAAAATTCTTCGTCGCTTTCGCTATTCCTTGAATGTCAAACCTGGCAAGAACTGGAAAAAAATCAGAAATGTTTGGTTGTCCAATCAAATGAATCATTTTGGATGCTACTTTGCGTAACTCGACGCCAACTTCATCCTGCTTGTCTCCGTCAATTGTGCCGCCCCACAACAATTTCAGTACAACGTTGAGTTCAGTAACAAAAGCCAACTCCCCAATATCTATGCTGGTGCCAATCTTTGAGTACAAATTTCCGATAGCCTTTCTGACCTCCTCTGTTCGCAGGTTGCAAGAAGCCTCAAGATTATTGTTACTCAGCAATTCTCGTACGAATAATTTCCGCATATCTCGCCAATACGGGCCGTAGGGCGACCAAGCAACACTCAGTCCACCGTAAGTTGCAATCAATGCTGCGACAGGTGCGTCGTGGTTGGCTAACATCGTGTCTTGATCTCGAACCACTTCTTTAATCAGGCCTGGTGAATTGATAACGAAACATAGTTTCTTTCCAAGCCATAGCTGGTAGATTGGGCCGTAGCGCCCAGCCAATTCTGTGAACTGTTGGTGCAAGTTTGGGCGCAGAAACGGTAAATATCCAAGAATTGGCAAACCTCTAGGCCCTGGTGGGAGCAAGGCCGATTCTTTACTTGGTTTTTTGAATATCCAAGAATACAAGAAAACAGACGCAATCACAATCAAGACTGCAAAAGCTGTACTTGCAAGCTCATCCATCATTTTACTGTTTACGGATTGAAGAAGAAATGCTCAAATAACACTGGTTTATATGGCAAATATTCATGAACTTTCCACAAACTACGGTCATACCAATTAGTTATCTATATTGTGTTAGGGGATAAATCTCACGTCGAATATTTACCGAAATATAGACCAACATTTAAAGGCTTGAACCACTCTTATTATAAGGTTTATCTTTTAAGATATATTCTCAAGTTTTAATATGATATCAGAGTCCATTGAACTCCAACGAACGATTTGGTCCAATTAAGAAAAAAAAAAATCAGCAAAAGAATTTCAAGATTGATTTGCTCAAACTAGCCGCTATTTTGTGGGAGAATTTTTTGATCCCATTAACAATATAAAAAACAAGCTCACGTATTTCGAGATCGATATGCTCAAACGAATCGTCATTTTGCAGGGTATTTTAAGGGATTATCGAAATATAGACCAATATACAAATGCTTGAACTACTTGACCCTCTAAGATAAAACCTCAAGTCTTAATAAAGATGACATCTCAAGTCCTAATATTTTGGTCCATATTTCGATATTTATCCATTAACATATAACTATTGTAATACTCTTTTTTCTATTTTTCTTTATTTAAGAATCGCGACACAATGATTAAAGGACACATTCTATATTGAATCATCTTGTCTAAAAGTTCAAATTGTGGAAAAGATATAAATTCATTTAATTCTTGTCTTGAACGCGCTCTCTTACTGCAAGGCGGATTCATCTTTAAAGATTTAACATGCAGTAAAATTGTGATACTTGATTTAATATCTTGGGTCCATAGAGAAAAGCCGGATCCGTCTTTCGGTGTAGTCCAAACGTTTGCCTAATCTT